GGCTGGAAAGTGATCCTTTGTGTGCACAGGGCTGTCGGGGGAGGGTAGAGAGTGCTCACCTATCTCCACCACTTCCCGGAGAGTCAGTCCGTCCACCCTCAGATGTATAGCTGCGTGTGTCTCTCAGGCGTTCTGTTGTGCTGTGTAGGCTTCTTCTATTGGTTGATGAATGTCCATTTAGTTGTAGTTCAAAAGGAGGAGAGACAAAGGGAACAGCTCACTCTGCCATGTTGCTGACATCACCTTTTGACTGCTTTGTGTCATATTGATTTTTATCTTAAGGTCAGTTTTGTCTGTTATTGATATTGCCACACCAGATTTCTTTTGTTTAATATTTAAGTGGTATATCATTGTTTGTGTCATCATTTTAATTTTACTGTAATTTTTTATACATCTCCTATGAACAGAAATTACTTGAATATTTTTTATCTTATTCTGACACAATCTTTTATTTGGAGCTCTTAGTCATTTATATTTAATGTAATTATTGATATATATTGCATTTAAATCTATCACCTTATTTTGTGACTTCTTTTTGTCTTTTCCTTTAGAATCTTGACTTCTTTTTATGGATTTAACTATTTTTAGAAATCAGTTCCTGTTTTTCCCCATACCAATATGGGAGTTGTAAACTCTTTTTTTATCTTTTAAAAGCTATCCTTGAAATTTTGACATAAGTACTTAACCCACCACAATCTAAAGTTAAGCAATAACTTTGCACTCTACTCAGAGTATGCAAGTATCGTAGAACACTTTGACTCCATTTATCCCTTGAGACACACATTCTATTTTACTCTTGCATTTGACTTCTATTTTTTGAAAACTCTAAGAAATATTATTATATTTGGTTTTATGCAATCAATGTTCATTCAGTTTTAGCCCAATATTTATCATTGTTTGCTACTTATTTCTTGTATCCCAGGCAGTGTGTTTAGGATTATTTTTCTTCTGCTTGAAGTATATCCTTTACACATCCCTTTAATGATATCTACTTATGGCAAACTATTTTTTTTTTTTTGCCTCAGTCCTTTACTGTCTGTAGAATTCTAACTTGATGGTTGTTTTCTTTCAGCATGTAGTCTGCTAACTTCATTGTTGCTTTTGAGAAATCCTCTCTCAGGCTACCTCATATGAAGGTAATTTTTCCCCCTTTGTTAAGAATTTTTGTTTGTTTGTTTTGGTTTTTGCAGTTGTACTATAATCTGTCTATGTGTGAATATCTTTTATTTATTATTCTTGCAATTTGTTTGGCTTCTTGAATATGCGTATTCTCAGCTAGTATCTTTTCAAATATTGCTCCTGCCCTGTTGTCTCATTCCTTTCATTCTGGGATTCCAACTAAAGTTACCTTAGACCTCACATGTGCTCAATATCTGTAATTAATTTGCGTATTTTTTTCCCCTTATGTTGCCTTTTGGATACTTTCTTCCGATTTGTCTTCACATGGATTAATTCTCCTTTCAGCTATAGCTAAGATGATATTATATTTTATCCGACATCTTTTCTTGTCCTCAATGAGAAGGTTGGTCCAAATAATATAGATCATCATTATTGGAAATTGTGTTTTCTATTGTATCTTTTAATATTTTTTTAAATTTGTTTTTTGTTTTTTTTTCTCTTCAGGGACACAAGTTATGTGTAGTGCAAAGTTATTTTGTCTGTCTTCCACATCTCCCTCATCCATTTCTCTCTAATCCTTTCTTCTCTATGTTTATTTCCATTTAATTTTGTTCACCTTTTGCTACCTTTCTTTTCGTGTCCTTTACAGTGTTTATTTTCCTTTTAGCTGCTTCCAGTTTTGACTTAATAGTTTCTATTTTATCTACCTTTTTTTTTTTTTTTTAACTCTGCCAGGTTATATTTTAGCTCCTATGATTTTTTTATCATATCACTCTTCCTTGAATACTTTTAGTTCTATTTTATGCTCTCAGTTTATAGAGGTGATTGTTTCATTGAGATTTGTGACTTTACAACAATATTTTTGGACTATAATTTTGACCTGTCCCAGGGCAAGTTTTTGCTGTTTCTCTTTTGTAATTTCTTTTCCTGTTTTTATCCCCTTTTTAGTTTAAATTTTAAAAATAGTTTCTGTTTTTATTCTTTTTTTATTATTATTCCTCTTTGAGTTGAGTAAATGTTGGCTTCTCTTGTAGGCTGAAGTACTTAAGAGAAGTTTCTGTGAGAAAGAGTACATGACTGCATTCCAGGCTAACAATATATCTTATGGCTCATTGTTGTATGCAGGGATGAATTCTTTTTTTTACCTACCTCTGTTTTCCCATTCCCTGCTCTTCCAGGGAGCCAACCAAAATTATGGGACTGCTCTCAGATGCCTCACAAGCAGACTTCTTCCTGATAATAATTTTTATCTGTGATTCTTCAATAATTACTTCTTTCCAAGCTTCTGATACGTGGAATTATGCAAAGTGTACTCCTTCTACCAGCTTGTGCATCCCATTCTGTAATTGCAAATAAGAAATTATTGGTATCACACTGTAGAGTATTCTTCTTACCTCGAAGAAATTTGTCCTGCTACCCTTTCCTAAAGCCTTCAACAAAGAGTATCTTGTCTCTGCATTTTTGAATCCCTGATAGACCTTCAATGAGTGCTTTGGCACTCTTTTCTCCTAATTTATATTTTGAAGCTTCAGATGTCTCTTAGATCTATGGAAGATACTGTTTGTGTTTTCATCTCTCATTCTTGATTTTGATTTTGAAAGTTTCCAAGAGGAGAGTGTCAAGTGGACTGATAACACAGTGCCACTTTAACACCAGAAGTCAGTCTTTCCTCTTAAATACAAATGGAAAAGTCAAGGATCTGTATTTATTTAGTAAAAGTTCCTAGTGAAAAAATAATTAAACTACCAATAAAGAAGAAAATGGAAACTGGGGAATATAGAGTTAATTCAGGAAACAGAATATAATATTAAAAATGCTTATTAGTGTGCATAGAGCTATGGATAAGATTATTTATGCATGAGACAAGAGTGCAATATTAAGAAAAAGGGATAATCAGAGAACCAAAAGAACACCTTGAAATTAAAATCTAATATTTTAAATTAAAAATTAAATATAGGAGTTGGAAGGTAATGAGGAAATTTCCTAGAAATAGGACAAGTCAACAAGTAATAAAGGATAAGAGACAACATAAATGTCTTAAAAGAACAATTTAGGAGCCCTAACATCTTACTAATAGTAGTTACAAAAAGAGAGGACAAAGAACACAGAAGAAAGGAAATTACAAATAACTAAAATAAGAAAATTTCCTTTAACTGAAGGATATATATCTGTAGATTGAAAGTTGCCCCTCAAATGGTTGGGACAATAAATGATAAAAAGACCCGTATTGTAAAATTAACATCTTACAGAGAGGAAAAACTATAGGCTTACAAACCAAGCAACAAGAATCAGATATATAGGAGTTTAAAATATCGACACTGGATGATAGAAAGCAATGGAACATGCCTTTAAAATTATGAGGATAAATGAATTTCAACTTAGAATTTTATACCCAGCCTAAATATTAAGCAACTGTATTGGTAAAATAAAGATATTTTTAGATATTTCATGACTCAGAATAATTATTTTCCATTTACCCTTTCTACGAAAGTGTTTGGAGGATGCAGGAAATAAGGGATTAAACCAAGATGGAAAAACACATGGGATCCAGAAAACATTGTATCTACCCCCAGGGATCAGCTAAGTTCTAGGATGGCAGGTCTTCAGGCTTACAGTGTGACCATTTTTGATTACAGCAGGATGCTGGAGGACTCCAGGAATGCAATTGAGAATGCATAGTGTGAATGCCTGACCTATTCCCCAAGAGAAGCCCAGCCATAGTTTTCCATTTTAATACACACGGCACAACAACAGCTAGTCCTGCTGTGGAGAAGATGTCAACTTTTAAAAAAAGAACTTACATTCTTCATCAGCCTTGAAAATGCTAGACTAGAAGTGGAATGCAGGTATCAGGCTGAAAGCCTGTGGCATCTGACAGTTTAGGCCACAAGTAATATGAATTTTAAGAGATACCTATGTTTTAGGCAAGAGTTAGTTTAGAAGTTTTGGACAATGCAATTGCTTTGGTATGTTTTCTTCTAGTTTTAGATAGAAGTCATTTGCAATCCAGAGACAATATAGTATAATGGTTAAGAGTGTGGTTCTGGAGCTAGCCTGGCTGAGTTCAAATCCCAGTTCTAGCACTTCCTAGAAGAGTGAACGTGGACTGGTTACCCAACCACAATTTCTTCTTTTGTAAAATAGGAACTGATAGTACCTACCTTATAGGTTGTTATACAGAACAGTTAAGTAAAGTACTTCAGATAGTGCTCAGCACATGGTAAGAATTCAATAATTATTAGTAAAAGGTACAATCCATAAAGACATGATAACATTTATGAATTCTTACGTATAATTGTTTATTAACAAAAATATACAAAGTAAGAACTGTTAGAAATGAAAAAGAAATGAATAGAAACGCAATTACAATGGACATTTCAATGCAGATGAGGTAGAATAAAATTAAATAAAGGTATCGAGAAAATGAACGATATACTTAATCTATTAACATAACTTAGTGGCTGGTAGTTCAGCTCAGACCTGGATTTGAGTTGTGGTTCTGCCCCAACCAGAAGTGTGACCTCTGAGCCACAGTTTCTATGGGAGGAATTGCAGTCAGGTCCTTGTGTATCCAAAGCTGATTCTTTTGACACCGGCCTCACATATGACAAGGCTGGGATTATTGATGATGCTATCCAGGTATAGCAGGGAGACGCATAAAGCTAGAAGGAGTCCGGAGACAATGAACGTTGAGGAGGCATGGAAGAAACAAAGCCATGGGTGGTGGCAAAGGTGCAGTGGGTGAGGGGGAGTAGGGGTGGGGGTAAACGCTGAATTGGGAAAAAGTGAAAAGTATGAGTTCCTCAAATTCTCATCTGTTGTATTTAGTTTTTCAGTTTTTCTTTTTGCTAGACTTAATGTTTGATTTGGTTTGTTTCTAGAGCAATAAGCCTATTATGATTATGGAATATTGGGTCGGCTGGTTCGACACATGGGGAAGTAAACATGTGGTTAGAGATGCGGATGGTAAGTGTTTTGCAGTGTTTGACCCCAAGTAGAGATGGCCCTGAGTCATGGATCATTCACACATTTCTCTGCTAATTAATCAGCTCATTCAGCCACAACTCCTCACTCAGCCCCTGTTATGTACAGGGACTTGGCTAGGCCTGCGAGTGCCCTGGTGAATAAAAATCACCGGGTTTCTACCCCCAGGGAGCTTGTAATTTGGTGGAGTTGACAGATGATTAAGAAGTAAAAGAATCAATATAGAGTTCTACAACTGTCAAGTGCTTTGAAGCAAACAAACAGGAGGCAGTGATAGGAAAGACAGTGCCGACCTGCAGAGAGATGGCCAGGTGGTCATGGAAAGGGTCCCTGAGAAGATGACATCTCTGAAGAAGGGGATGCGTTTGCTAAATGTCTCAATCATCTCAGAAAATGCACAGGCCATTTGCTACGGAGTTGTCAACTAAATGGGAGTAATTTTCAGAAGAGGACACGCAATGATGGCTGAGAGTGCAGATCCTGGAACCAAAGAGAACTGGATTTCAATCACAGCTCTGCACACTAGCCACGTGGTCCAAGGCAGCTTTCTTCCACTTCTCTGTCTCAGTGTCCTCATATAAAAATGGGGAGTATCATGTAACCTACTTTATAAGGTTGTCGTGAGGATTAAATATAGTAATCCATGTAAACCACTCAGAAGAGTGCCTGGCAGATGTTGTTAATAAAAGTATTTTGTTCCTAAAGATATTTTGCCATCGCTATTATGAAAACAAGCTCACTTGTACCTGAAGTAAAGAAGACTGTTGAAAAGTACTCACTAACTGAGAAAAGCCTGATTTGGGCTGAAAAATAGGAAAAAAAAAAAAAAAGGCCACCACCCCCACCACCGAACAACAGTTTTCTGATCACTCATGTGTCAGCACTATGCCATATTTCCTACATATGCTCTCTCATCAATTAATTCTCTCACCAGTCCTATGATGGAGTAGCAATTAGGACGTTCACTTAACAGATAAGGAAGCAGAGGTTCTGGGAGAGACAACAGGCTATCTGAGGTCATACAAATAGGAAAGAGCACAGCCAGGATGGAATCCCACATCTAACTTTTAACCATTCTGCTCCCTATTATGGCCAGGCGAAGGATGATCATACCTGTGAAACCATGGTGACAAAAGGAGAGTTTCTGTGGCTAAAGATTGAGAACAGCCACTCATGAACTAGTACAGTGATTCTAAACCAGTGTCCCAAGAGATATTACCCAAGAGAGTAGTGAATGTATACTAATTATTTGTACAATTTCAAAAAAGTTTAATGAACATTAGAAATTTAAGTGACATAAGGGTTCTTAGGCTATTATTTAATAGATGTATCTTGGAGTCAAATTATGTCCATACTCTGGGAAAAATAATTTTTAAAAAGGCTCTTGGTATTGACAAGACTTAGTTTCCTAGAGTAGTTCTGGCCAGTTGCACCTCTTTGCTGGTTAGAATCTTAGTGGAGGTTGAAAGACAAAACAGTTAAGTTGATTGTGGGGCGGGGTTGGGAATGATAAGATTTCACCAGAGACTTCTGTCCTCTCTTAATTTTTAATTTTTTGTATATCTTCATCTTCATCTACAGATGTTGAAAAAACTGTGTCTGAATTTATCAAATTTGAGATCTCCTTCAATGTATATATGTTCCATGGTGGAACCAACTTCGGTTTCATAAACGGGGCCACAAATTTTGTGAAGCACAGTGGTGTCGTCACTAGCTATGGCAAGTGTTCACTGGTATGGTCATCTCCCAGCGTAGGTGGTGTTGGAGCTTCACAGACTAGGCTCCAAAAGCGTGTTCTGGCATCACTGGGTTCTTGATCTATGATCTATGCTGAGCATTGAGGATTTTCCTTTCTTCTGTGATGTTCATAATGTCCAACAGTCTGTCATTGCAGTAGACAGGGCTGCATGTGACCCAGAGCTCTGCTCCACTCATTGTGTACACTGTGTACTCCTTGACTTGAACCTTCCAAGAGAGACAGAATGCAAGTGGTGATCACCATGCCCAGGCAACAATAGGCACAGCTGGGCAATCCAAGTTGAGGAAAGAAGACAGTGTCCATTAGAAAGTGACACAGAAGGATAAGCCCAGTGTTGTGACAGCCTCAGATCCCAGGAAGGCTTGTGGGGAGTGTTGCTACATTGGCATCACTCTCCCACACCCCAGCCTGCGATGGACTGGGCCAGGGGGCGAGGAAGATGTGTCTTCTGTCTCCTGCTGGTGGTCCTGGCCCGTCTCATGCAGAAGTGCTGAAACAGCGTGCTGTGGAGGAGTGCCTGGCCCCTGACAGCACCCTGGTGTCTTGCAGACTATGATGCTGTGCTGACAGAGGCTGGGGACTACACAGAAAAATATTTCAAGCTTCGAAAACTCTTTGGATCCATCTTGGGTACTAAGCAACTGTTTCAATTTGTGGGGTGGTCCTCCTCGTGAAGTGGAAGGGTGAGGAGAGGGGAGGATTTCTTCTACAGGTAGAAGCTTAATGGAGCACTTAAGAGTAAGGGCAATCTTAAGTTCAAATCCTGGTTTTCCCACTTAAAAGCTGTGTGATTTTGCATGAGTGTTTTTAAGCCCGTTAAGCCTCAGTTTCTTCACTGAAACGTTAAGGCAGTGATACTCATCTCCTATAATGATTGTGAAAATTAAGTAAGTTATTATTTGTAAAACTATTTGTAACTATTGTAAAATTATTTGTAAAACTCTTATATGATATATGGCATAATACCCTCATATACAGTAGCAGAAATCATCCTATTTAATTTTATTTAAATAAAGTTAATTAACCATCTACTATGTGCTAGAAAGTAGATAAGCACCAGTATTGCCAAAAGGCATAAGGCAGAGTTCTTGCTCCCTAAGAGCCCTCCGTCTGTATGAACATCTTACTCCTTAGAGGGCTGTGCATACAAAATGGCTCCAAGTTAGTTATTGTGGGTTTTTCCATCACTCTTGGAGAAGTATACCCATGTGTTAGGATAGGACCCATTTGTCTTGTTGGCTCTAGGATACAAGAGTTCATGGATAGGAAGGGGGAGGCTTGGAGAAGGCAGTAGTTATTTCATGGCCCATTTTTGTTGCAGCAATTCCCCTGCCCCCCTTACCTGCGCTCACTCCTAAGGCTGTGTATCCCTCTATGAGATCATCCCTTTACTTGCCGCTGTGGGATGTCCTACAGTACTTAAATGAGGTGAGTACTGCCTGGTCACTGGAATAGGGCGGTGGCCACTGGAGACATGAGGGACAAGGCCTTAGGCCACGGAGTATAGATTCTTTCAAGGGCTTTTTATTGGGAAGTGTGAAAACTCATCCTCTGCGTTTTGTCCAAGTTTAGAACTATGGGACAAGAACCACAAGCTCCTTCTGGGTGGACTGTGAAGGGGTTTGAACTTGAAGAATGAGTGGGGGTGAGGATCTTAGAGGATCCTATTTCCCAGCTCAGATGAACCCATCTGGTGAATGCTCTTGTGTGAGACTGCATGATCCATATGGGAAAGGCTGCTGACCTAGGAATCCAAGAAGCTGAGTTTCTGACTCCTCTTCACCGTTAACTAGGCCAAATCACTGAACTTCTTTGGGTACTTGCTCTGCCTTTAAAATTAGATTACCTGTCCTATTTTGAAGAAAAGGTGAAAATTGTTTAGAAAATGTTAAGTCTTGAATTCGTATTGGTTTCACACCTGCTATCAGTGTTTTAAATGCTAAATAAATGTTTGCTTAGTGCATAATTCGTTACTTGACTTCAGTTATATTAGAATATAACTTATTAACTCTGTTAATTCTCATGATTACAGCAATTGTTCCCTCTACCATGCCCCCACCATCCCCTGAGTTTCCTGGTCGGTGGGGACATAAAGCACATGAGCGTCATCACATAGCATCTGTTTTAGTAGTTTTCATCCAAAGACTGCTTGGGGACTATTAGGAAGTACTACAAAAAATGACAAGGGTCTTAGAAGTATCCTGACTCCTTATCGCCCTGGCTGTTGTTTCTGCCTTGTCTCTCTCACAGCCAGTCATATCTAATATACCAGTCAACATGGAGAATCTTCCTATAAACAATGGAAATGGTCAGTCCTATGGATTAGTACTCTATGAGACTTCCATCTGCTCTGGAGGTCAGCTCCATGCTGATGTTCACGATACAGCACAGGTAGGGGTCAGCATGCTGTCTATGGAGGTAAGCAGAACATTTAGCCTAACTCTGCTATTGGGGAGGGTAATTAGTCACTGGTCAACTTTAGTATTTGATAGTAATTTTAAGCACCTACTCTGTGTGAGGCATCGGGAATATAAAGTCAAACCAAAGAAACTTCCTTTCTGCTTTATCACAGCTTAAGTCTGTTGGAGCCTCTCGGTCAGCTTCTAGCCATCTGTGAGCACCAAGGCTGGACCCTTCCTTCTTAATGACCTCCTCTCTAAACCAGAGCCTCTCTTCTTCGTTTCTTCAGGCGGGCCTATCAGTCTGATGCTGGCTCATTTTTTGCAGGTGTTTTTGAATGAGACAAGAATAGGAATCCTGTATGATAATACTCAGAACTTGAACATTCCTGAAGTCAGGGTATGTAATTCAAGCGTCTAGGTGCTGCACTAGACCTCCGATTCAAATGCAAACATAGCCCAGTCCTGAGATAGACTGCCTCCTTTCTCTAGCACTACTGCTCCTCACTTAGGGTCCCTGCAGGAAGTGTTCAGGGCTCTAAGCATAACTGCATCTCCCAGGCCCAGGTACAGCATGGGCTGCAGCATACATGCTTTGATGTTAAAGGAATTTTCCCATTGAGCCCTGAGTCAATCATCAGCCCCTGGGGGGTCTCTGATCACAGGCATGGCTGAGTCTCTACCTTTCCTAAGGCCTACCAGAAGAGGAAAGGGAAGACTGAGTGTGGAACAGGAACACAGAGAGTCCTTGCAAGAGAGGGAGGACAGCTGGGCTCTGGAGCCTCCGTTTCTCCCATTTTCTTGTCTTTCCATCTGGGACTCAGAGAAGAATGGGTTCTAGAGTAAAAACCCTCCGTGGCCATGTAGTCCCCAAGAGCTTGTCTATCCCAAGCAGGAATGTCAGCTTTTAAGGATCCTGGTGGAGAATCAAGGACGAGTCAATTTTTCATGGAAAATTCAATATCAGCAGAAAGGTAGGCTCTAGGCCTGAGAAACAGGCTGTAATCTCTCTTCATGGTTCCTTGGATCCTAAGATTGGGGCTATGTTGGGACTGGGAGGAAAAAATAAGCCCCTCGGGCAGTGGGATACCTAGGTCCTAGGACCAAAGATGCAAACTCCTTCCCTCTCCCTTGTCCTGCCTTCTCCAGTTCAGGGTAGGAAAGTAGAGCAGTTTGGTTGAGTCCTGGCTTGTCCTGGAGCAGAGTCCAGTCTCCTTTTGGGAATTTCAGGGAAAGTTCTGATACTAACTGGGGAATTTTCTTGGTACTGTGGAAACATACAACAAGAAACCTTCAGTCACAGCAGGTCAGACAAGTGTTTGCCCTTCTGGCTGAGCCCTTGTCATGAGGCATGTACGGTCTGGATTTCTTTGTTCAGGCACTGTAGAATATCCAGTCCCTGTCCAAATTCTCTTTCCTACTTCCCACCTGCAGGATTAACTGGATCTGTTACCATCAATAATGTTCCCCTGGAGGGTTTCACTATCTATTCTCTGGAAATGAAAATGAGCTTCTTCAAGAGGTACATTCCTACTTATGCCCAATAAACCCTTTCGGGGATCAGGGAACTCAGAGATTTCAAACTCTTTGCTTTGCAGATGAAGAGCCCAAGATTCAGAGAACTGAAGTGATTTACCCAGGATATAGAGTGCTTTGGAATCAGGACTAGAACCCTAGAATAAGTCTCCTGATTCCAATTTTAATGCTTCTAGTCTAATACATCTCGCTGAAACAGACGCCTAGTTCCTGTGTGGGAACTCTAGGGTGGATATTGGGACTAGAGTTGGGAAGGGGCTTTCCTCTCCCTCAAAGCTTGGCCCTTCTTCCAGGCTTCGCTCTGCCACCTGGAGGCCTGTCCCAAATAGCTATTCGGGCCCTGCCTTCTACCTTGCTACCTTGAAGGCTGGCTCTTCTCCCAAGGACACCTTCCTGAGACTACTGGTAAGTGAGCCGCCCTCTTCTGCCTGGTGCCCCAAGCACCTATTGTTTTTTAAAGGGTCTTGAAGCAAAGCCATAGTGTTCCTGGCAGGAATACTTCCCTTCCTTCCTTTCTTTCTCTTTCTTGCAAGCCTTCCAACATTTCTCAATCTTCCTAATTTATCATTGTTTAAAAAATAATACATCAAAACACAATGGAAAAATTCAAATATAGCAAGATGTAAAGAGCAAACAGTAGAAGTTCTCCTTCAAACCCACCCCCATTCCAATTCCTCTCTTCTCAGAGCTAAGCACCACCAGGTTTGTGTGATTTCATATAAAACTTTGCCTAAACACATACACAATTACACTAATGGGAGCATTCCATGAATTATATTCTGCAACTTGCTTTTTTTTAGGGGGGGTAGTTTTGACCTAGTATATCTTTTTATGTATGAACACACATAGATAACATAAATGCACAAAATATGGTTGTACAGATCAATTAATTATCACAAAGTCAACACCATATAATTATCACTGAGATAAAAATAAAATATTGTCAGCACCCCTCCTAAGCACTGCCTCCCCTTCTCCCTAAAAGGTAATGGTTATCTCAACTTCTAATACTAATTCAGCATTTTCTCCTTTGATTTCATGTATATTGAATTATATAGCATGTCTTCTTTTTTTATATAGCTTCTTTTGTTCAACACTGTTTGTGGGATTCAACCATTTAGCGATGTTGTGGTGATTTGTTCATTTTCACTATTGTATAGGCGTCCATTTATAAATATACGATACTTTAGTTAACCATTCTATTGTTGATAGACATTTGTATTATTTCCAGTGTTTGGTTATTACAAATTATTAAGACTTCTTTTGTGTTTATGTATATACTGAGATATCTTTGTCAGGTTTTGGTACCAATGTTTAAGACCCTCATCAATGATTTGGAAGTAGAGTTTGTGTGAGACTGGTATTGTTTCTTAAATATTTGGTAGATTTCATTAGTGTAACCATCTAGGGCCAACATTTTCTTTGTGGGAAAGTTTATAAGTGTGGATTAAATTCCTTCAAGATTAAAGTACTATTCAGTTTCTTTAAAAGTCAGTTTTGATAAAGTATGTTTTTCTGCGAATTTTTCCATTTCATCTAAATTTTCAAATGTATGGTTTAAATTGTACATTTTTAATGTCTAGTGACATCTCTTTTTTCTTGATAAGTCTTAACAGAACATTACCAATTTATTACTCTTTCAATGAGAGAATATTTGGCTATGACTTTTACTATATTATGTATTTCCTTTCTGTTTAATTTCTACTGTTATCTTTATTGTTTTTTAAATTCTTTTTATCTTAAGATTTATCTGCTTTCGTTTTATAATTTCTTGAGACAGCTGCTTAGATAACTTATTTTTAATCTTTATTCTTTTTTAATGTATGAATTCAGCTATTACTTTTCATTTTAGCATGGATTTGGTTGTATCCCATAAGTTTTCAAGTTTAACATAAAATTAACTGTTTTAAAGTGAACAATTCAGTGGCATTTAGTACGTTCACAATGTTGTGCAACCGTTCCTTCTGTCTAGCTTCAAAATATTTTTATCACCCTAAAAGGAAACCCGTACAGTTAAGCAGTTACTTCCTCATCTTCCCCTCCCCTCAGCAAACAATACTCTTCTCTCTGTGCCTATGGATTTGCCTATTCCGGATACGTACTTCATAAGTTTTTATATGTTTTATTTTCATCATCAATGAATTCAAATATGTTTTAATTTCCCTTGTGATCTTTTCTTTGGCCTCTGGGTTGTTTAGAAGTGTATTTCTTAATTTCCAAATACTTTGATATTTTATAGTAAATAATCCTATAAAATAGTCATCAATAGTAATAGTTAATAGTAATTACGATTAATAGTAATCAATACTATTTTGTTATCAATTTATGTTTAATTGCACTATGGTCTGAGAACTTTAAAATCTTTTAACACTTGTTTAATCCAACCTATGGTCAAATTTGTAAAGATTGTGATGTATACTTGAAAGAATATGTGTATTTTGCATGTGTTAGATCAATGTTCTATATATGTCAATTAGTTTGATTTTAATTATCTTGTTTCAAATGTTTTATGTCTTTATTGATTCCTGTTTGCTTTGTCTACTAGTTGTTGAAATGCTATATGAAAATTTTCCACTATGGTCATGAATTTTGTTTCTCCTGTTATTATGTCAGTTTTGCTTACATATTTTGAATCTATACTTTTAGCCTCTCTATATATGATATATACATTCATGGTAAATTAAGAATTTGATGATTAGGAGATTTTCTTCTTTGTCTCTAAAGATATCTCTTGGCTTAATGTCAAGTTTTTCTGATATTATTAGGGCTATAGCAATTTCCTTTTGCTTAAGATTTACCTATTATATCTTTTTCCATTGTTTTTCTTTTATTTTTTCAATGCCTTTATATTTTAGAAGATTTTCTTATACAGAGCATTTAACTGCTTTATTAAAATTCAGTCCAGAAAGCTTTGTCTTTTTTTTTTTTTT